AGAGGCTCCCAGGACACTCGCCTCAGGTCCGGGTAACTTGCTGGGTAACACTCAGAGCTCAAGGAACTCGCATGTGCCCTGGGCCGCTGTGGTGTTCAGGGACTGCTGCGGGTGTGGCCCTGGAGCTGACCAGCTGCCTGGGGCGTGGCACAGAGCGTCTGCGCCTCCCCTGGGTTCTCCCCTGGACTGAAAATGTTCATGGGCCCAGAAGCCCCCCGAAGCCCCTTCCCCTTGGGCGTTTATGGGCGCCGCTTTGCAGAGGCGTGCGTGATTTCATCGGCCTCTCACCCGCTGCCCCCTTGGGAGATCGGGCAGCAGCCTGAGAGCCTCTCGGGCTGTAGGCCTCCGCCAGCCCTCCCAGGCGCGCTCCAGAGCCACCTTCCTTAGCACAGCAGAGACGCCGGTGGCCAGTGGAGCCCTCGTGCTCCAGGGGTGGCCGTGAGGCAGGGCCTGGGCTGAAGACCTGCTTGCACGAGATCTGGGTTTGGGCCGTGACCGCCGCGGCCTCCGCCGCCTGCCCGCAGCCCCACTCTCCCTGCCCCGGCTCGGCCCACTCGGACTTGTCAGCCTGTGCGCTCTGGGCCTCCTCCCCTCCTTTGCAGGAGGCCCTGGTCCCCTCCCACCGGGCCTCCTGCGTGGCCCCTGACCACTTCCCTGGCCTGTACCTTCTCCCCGCCTGTTTCCTGCTCACGTTGCCGCAGCTGTGACAGCAGGTGCAGGTCACTGCAGCCTCACCTGCCTGCGCAGCCCCAGACGCCGTGGCCCGGGGAGGCGGCAGGGCCCAGTCTGGGCTGCCACGGCCGTCGCAGTCTGGCCTCACGCCTCTTGCAGTCTCACTTCCTCACAAACACCCATTTCCAGTTACACCGAGATCCCGTCTCCCGGACACCGGCGTCCGCACGCAAGGGCCTCCCCGCCGGAGCCCGTATGCAGTGCCAGGGCTCCTCTCGGCAGCTAATCTCGGCTTCTGCTACTTTACGGTAGTGGCAGGCAGGTGTCCGTGGCCGCCCGAGCGCCCCAGGCCCCGCAAACCCGTGCACATCTCCGCTCCGTGAGTCCTCTGCGTCCCACCTCGCTTCAGTGATGCTGCGGGTTTACCCCTGTGCACACCCGCTCCCGCGCACACCTGTGCTCCCTGGCCAGGTGTGTGTTCCCCTGGGAGGCGCGCAAGGCCCCGGGTTCCGGCCGCGGCGCCTGAGCCCTCCACTTCGCCTCCGCATCGCAGCTGGTTTCGGTGAGACCTTCCATCTGACCAGGCTGCGGGCTGCCCAGAGGTGGTGACCGTCACGCAGATGAACCATACGTGTTTATTACATCCGGAAAGGATCGTCTTCCCCCGGCACCCCTGTAGCCTGTAGATCTAACAGGCAAAAAGCGGCAGGCATGGTCAGGAGGCAGGACTGAGGCAGCTGGCTTGAAAGACTCGCTTTACCGACTTTTCCCTGGAAGGGGCAGGGGCGGGCAGTGCGGGGGAGCTGGCCCCCGCCGCGACCAGCGGCTTGGGTGGCCGAGCGGGTCACTCCGTCCTGGCGGTCAGTCTTGGGTTGTGCGGCTCCTGGGCCTGGGCAGGCGTGGGCGTCGGATCCTGCCAGTGGGGCTGGCAGTGACAGCGTCACTCTGGAATCAGTGGCCCAGCTGCGTTTGTCACTCAAAGGGCCTCTTTTTGGTGTTTCGAGGGTTCCCGTCGCTTCCTTCTCCCGCCCTCGTCTGTCACTTTGGAACCCCCACGGCCAGGCCCCTCTGCTTTAGTGACGGCCACCGAGGAGGCCCGGTCCCTGCGTCCACCCAGGACAGCGGCGCAGGCCGCGGTCCGGGAGCCCTGTGGTGGCGTGGGGCCGGCCCGCCGGCGCACTTGTTTCTGGCCGCATGAGGTGGGACTCCCGAGTCCCGTGTGCGCTCGGTGGGAC